ACTCCGTGAGATGACCTGTCTGCACCAGTTCTTCCAAATGTTGTTTCAAGGATTGGTAATTTTCCGTCATATGCCCAATATCCCGATGATACAAACATTTGAAGTTTGGATTCCTCTTCGAAGGATCTCCTGTAAGCTTGTTAGGCCATTTGAAGAATGGTTGTGCCTTGATTTGATTCAGGATCTTGTATATTGGCTCCTTGAACAACGTGTTTACCCTAAGAAAATGGGACTTTTGGGGTAACCTTCATTCTCATTCTTCCTTCCGCCCTCGCGGCTCGACTCGGTATGCTTGTCTCGACCGAACAGTCTCTTGCCATGATTGTCTCTAACTATATCTCTGCATAAATCGTCGTCGATTTTGGCATACTTTTCAATTCTTGCCATCAACTCTTCCAGGTCGGTGGCAGGTCTTCTAGTGAGTGATTGGTACAGAGGGTTTTCCTTTGGCAATCTAATTTTGAAGGATGCCACTGCGATTTTGGGGTTACATCCCTCGACCACATTCATTGTCTCCCAATAGCGATGATCGTACTCTCGCAAGGTCTCATTATGTTTCTTCTTCAAAGTCAAAAGGGCCCCAACATCCTTTGACTGCTTACTACTTGTAATAAACCGTCCTATGAACTGTTTGGCCAACTGTGACCATCCATCAATCGATCCCTTCGACAAACTGTTAAACCAATTCATGGCCAACTCCTCTAAACTGCTAGGGAAGGTGGTGCAAATTAGTGGCTCGTTCTTTCGGTGGATTGTCATCAACTGTCTATAATGCCTGATATGTGAGGCTGTGTCAGTTTTTCCATCGTAAAGTTTAAAATTTGGGATGACGAACTTGCTCGGGATTCGCCCACTTTTAAGCCATGTAGTAAAAGGTGACGACTCCGAACCGTTTTCATATTCTCCTGTTGCTCTTCTGGCTAGGTCCCAAGCCGACCTCTACTCTGATCGTCTAAGGCGATTGTTGAGTTCCTCGGTGATGTACTGCTTCCAAGCATCCTCCTCCTAGAGCCTAGGTTTCTTCTGCTGGTACTTATCGTCATTAGGATTCCTAGTTCTGACGCGCTTCCTTTCGGGACTTTCACGTTGGCTGTCTCTCCCTCGCTTTCCTTTCTTGGTGATCTATTCCAACTTGGCTTTCAATTCTTCGTTTTTCCTTATCAGGTCCTTCTCCCTGGCATAGGATTTCTTGAACAACTTGTCATGAGCATTAAGTCGGTCCTGCAGGGATTGGACCAACTTTGCCAAAGAGTGGTTTTCCCCCTCGTCACAGAGGGATTCACCACGATCTTGTCCACGATGATTTTGATTCGTGGTTCGTTTTTGACTTGCTGAGGATACCTAGTCATCCTCATGGGGCCCAGATGGGCTCTTGTTAATATGCAACCCATCGTTGCTATAAGATGGAAGTGGTATAGGATAAGAATTTCCCATAGCAAAACTGCCTACAGGTGATCTAATGGCATTTCTGAGTTTTGACATCGTAGCTTTTCGTTTCGAATGATTAAAATTTTTCCACAGACGGCGCCAAAATATAAAGGGTAAAAATTAAGGATACCTCTCACTAAAGATTTAAATTTGATATTTCTGGTAATGAATATTTCTGAACTTAATCTCCCAGTCTTTGCTTCCTGCAAAACGAACAAACTGTCCAAGATCGAGGTGATTTGATAGAAGGCACTCCGATGCTTAAGTCAGTAATGGAATTGAGATAATTGTCAGAAGACTAGGAGAGTTCAGCGTACCTTTTACCTTGGTTCCTTTGGGTTTTTATATATCTTTACCCCATTAGGGTTTTTGTGATTTTTGGTTCAAGGTGGCACACCTTCCTTTAATCCTGCGTTTAAGTTTAGGAAGTTGCTGATATTTGTCCTGCAATTCCTCATGGTATCTTCAAATTTGTTGATTCGTTTATCTGAATGCCAAAGTTATAGGCGAATTTTCATCTTTCTATCTATCGTTTCGAATAGCTTGGACATAATAAGGGCCGAACACTTTCGATGTTTGCCGAGCTGATTGATCAACTCGGTTCGGTACAAGCCAAGCTATTTCATTGCCTTGCCGAACATATTAATGATCTTGGTTGAGAACATACCGAGCTTCAATATTACTTCACCGAACACATTGGTTAGTTCGACTAAGACTTTTTCACTGAGCAGCTGATGTCTTCGTCACGTGCCATGCCTTATCATTCTCACATGAGCTCATTAATTACCATAACACGTGTAATAATGAGGGCTAGCCCCTTTAAATTGTGTATAGATTGATATTGTTCGAGGGTCATATTTTTATAGTATATTTTTTTGATTTTGTTTTAAATAGTAGGTCTATATTACTTGGTTTTTTTTACTATTATGAATTGCTTTTAAGTGCAATTGTTTTTCTTTTTACATAGTGCCGGTTTGCGTCGTGGTTATGTCCCTCTACACCGGAGGGTTTTCCACGTAAAATATTTATTGTTCCTCTGTCTTTTTTCTGTGTGTTTTGGTCCCCTGATTAAGTGCTTGGTAATTTTTTTATGTGGTTATCGACTATTGCTGGCATTTAGTTGATAAACATTTGTTTATGCTAAAGCTGATTGTTGTGCAGCGTATTGGTTTGGCATTGAAAAAGAGCATAGTTTTTTGTTCGACATAGTGTTCATTCTAGCACTTTTCGAACAAGGGGGAGGGGTGTGATGTAACTCTCATCCTTGTGATACCTCATGACAGGGAGGGAGGAGCATAGTTGTGGCCTGATGGCCATGGCCTCATTACTTTTTTTTTTTTTCAAACTCCAACTTCAATTTTGCATGGAATAGTGTTTCATCTTCTCAATGCTGCATTGTCTTTCTCCCAAATCTTATATTTTAGTATATCCTGGCTCGGTCATTTAATATGGTCTACACTTTTGATCAAAGGTTAATGACACCCTGATTTGCTTGTTCTTGCATCTATCAATAGTTTTGCTATCTATCAATAGTTTTGGTATTTCATTTGTTCTGGGCCTTGATTTTAGATTGGTCAGTAAGATTGTTCTGTTAGTGCAGGAGTATCAACAATTAATATGTCTGGGGCTAGCTTCTTAATCAGTTGTTGTTTCTGGTTCTACTACAGGTGTTTACTGTGTACTTTTCTGGTTTGCTAATGTAGTTATGTTGTTAGTTTGGTAATGCTTTTAGCAGTTCCTATATTCTTCTAGTAAACCAGAAGAGAGGAACAAATAAGAGTAGAATACAACTCTCAAAGAGTTGGACATATAAGAGATCAATCCTTAACTTTTACAGAAATTTATAACTATCAAGGATAGTAAACTAAGTTAGGCTTAGATGATTATAGTAAAAGAAACTTTTTCCATATGGAAAATCAAGTAGTTTTGGAACCCAAAGTGATAGTATCCACATACATACATACAGATATTATGGTGAGGGGGTGTTCAGATCAGCTTACACGCACCTTAATATATCTTCTATCCGATCTGGTCAAAGACAAATTTTTTATGCCAGAACTAGGAAATTCATTGGGATAAATCTCTACATGACCCAACTCCAAGGGAGTTGCCAAGTTGATGCAAGAAATATGAAAGACTGGAGTATAAATATGAAAAGACTAGACTCTTAAAGTTTACATCATTCTTACAGGAAAAAATATCTATACCATATGTATATTGTTTGCTCTTGCCCGAACAAAATATGTACACCTAATATCTTAAATTGTGCCTCAGAAACTACCCAAAAAAGATTGTGCCACTTTTGTATTATTATTTTGTTTGTTGATTGCCTCTTACCTCATTATCAGATCTAATCTCTTTTGTGTTTCACCACTTTTATATATAGATATTTCATATTCAAAATAGTTCGCGTGTTAGTACGTGTGAGTACTAGGCCTGACATTCGTGTCAAGTGGAATGATTTCGTGTTGGATGGAAATGAGTTTGTGTCCAAAAACTCTCTATCCATACTTCATTCGTTTATATAAATTGAGTTCAACTATCACATTTGTACATAAAATGTTTATTAGATGGATTATCCGATATAACTCATGCGTTACCCGCTAAATAAGATAATAGATTAGAGTATTTCGAGTTCACACGAAAAATCATTAACTCACCACACATTACACATATTTGACTTGTTTACTATAACAATAAATCATGGCTGAACAAAAAAATAAACATTAAATAACTATTAAATTTGAATGAGTCTAAAAGATGGAAGGTGTAAGATGAGATAGAGGGTAAGAGATTTAACTTTTTGAAAAAAAAAAAATTATAGTACCACTGTTAACGAGTTAAACGGATTGAAATGAGTTTATAGATTAAACACGAAATCGATTCATTTATTTCACGCGTCTGCTGAGTTAATCCGTTAACCATCCGAATTCGTTAAGTTTACACTCAAATTCGCTAAATTCGTGTCGGGTTCATGTCAATTTCACGAGTCATGTCTAGAATTGTCAAGCCTGGTGAGTACCTGGTAGTATAATTGGAAAGTAATAACAACCATAAAACAAATAAAGTGTAAGCGAATCAATTTGACCGCTCTTGATTTTCTCAAGATACTCCTCACTAAAAGATCAAAGGGTTAATCTTTGCCAAACACAAAAAATGATTTCTTATGTTCTCTTCTTTGCGAGTTATACATACTGTGATCAACTTTCAGGCTTCTCTTTACCATTTTCAAGTTATTTTTCTACACAATTATCTTTCTTTGAATTACTTAAATATTTGTTGAGATGGTAATATAATAAATTGAACAAGAACAGAGCCAAATAGATAAATTGCAAGTGAAAACAGAACCAAATAGATAAATTTAAATTTTGATTAAATTGGACCCATTTTCATAGTAGACCCCATTTATTTTTGAAGATATTAGAGGGGTCAATATAAAAAATCCAAAAATAAAAAAAATTCTAAACTGGCCCTTTTATTTTACAAATTTCCAATGGAGCCATTTGAACAGTTATACAGCCATTTGACTCTAACCATGAATATACATAATATTAATCTTGGTGAAGCAAATATCATGGACAACATGCTATCACTTTATAGTTGCCGTCCCTTGGGGGAGCTCGACTGAGGCACTTGTTACATACGGTTGAGCCGACGTAAACATTTTCACCTGAAAAAGAAATATAAAACGTCACATTATGTTGTGTTCTTCATTCCAAAAATTATAGGGCTAATTTATAATTTCGTGGTTTTTTTGTTGTTGTAAGCAACGATTATTTAATATTACAAGTCTCGTAAATAACTATTACAATGAAGTCTAAATCAATTGTAAAGTCGGTAATTTTTTATGTTTTTTGTTAAATAATCAAGCGTGTTCGGGCTAATTTACGCGACCTTGACTAGGGTATTCAAAAGTACACCATCCACGCTGAAACTAGGGTATTTATGAGGGATTAATTTTTTATAATGTGGGCCCAAGGGATTGTCAATATTCAAACTCAAAACGTTTGAATTTAGAGTTCGTCTCTATTACCACTTGAAATATCTTTGAAATTATTAATTATTATCATGCAGTCTGAATGAGTCACAAACCTGTAATAGGAGCATAGTTGAATCCTCAAAAAGAAGGATAAACAAAAGTAGAATATAACCCTCAAAGAGAATGACATATAGGAGATTAGTTTTTTACCTTTGTAAGGATCGATTAATCTCCTGGTTGAAAGTATGAAGGGTAGTCAACCTGACTAGGCACAGTTGGTTATAATAAGGTGTGGCTATTTTTACCCTATAAATCTCTATTTTCATTCAATTTAATTTTTTATTATTAAACTATTAAGTTCATCTTTTCTATACCCACCATATTATTAACTAAGTTCATCCCATGTTACATACACCCCTTTTAAAAAGAAAAAAACGAAACAAGAAAAAAAAAGAAATAAACAAACAAACCGAAACAAGAAGGAAAAAAAAAATCAAGCAAAGTTTAAAGGAACAAGCAAAACTACAAAATGCAAAACCATAGTATGCAAAACTGCACATGAAAAAAAAAACACATCAAGCACAAACACAAAATCGAAAAAAAAAAATAGCAAGTATAAATACAAAACCTAAACAAGATAAAAAAAAAGAACAAATAATCTGAAAACATACATATATATATACACATATAAATTCTAAATAAAAAATTATTAAACTTAACAAAGATATCAAAATATACCGGAAATAATGAAAATTCATACAATAAACATGAAATTAAACATAAAATTAAATTGAGAAATAATACTAACATGTATCTCACTAAAAAAATTCATATTGAAAAAATATTTTTGTGAGTGCATGAAATGAGATAGAGAATGAAACTTTAATTATAATAAAATATAAAGTGAATTTATTTATTAAATAGGGTGTATGTAACATGGGGTGAACTTAGTTACTAATTGGTGGGTATAGAAGTGATGAGTTTAGTAGTTTGATAATGAGAAATTAAATGGGGTGGGAATAGAGATTTGTGGGTTGGGAATAGTCCCACCCGTTATAATTTTGTGAGTTTAGGGTTTTGGTTCATACAATTTCTTGGTAAAATGTTTTTAGACAATTACTAATCAAAGTGGACTCATACAAATTCCAAAGACAAAAGAAAATTCATGAAAGAATGCAATATAGATGCCCTAACAACATGGAATTCAAAAAATTACTTGAAAATAACATTATTACATGATATATTATGTACTATTTGATGATAACTTTTTTGGGCGACAAAGTGCGATCGAGGAAAAAAAAGACCTTTTTCCTCATGTAAACTCATGTAGTTTTGGCCACCCTAAATGATTGGTATAAACACACATAGGCATATATAGACACCCTTTGGCTTGTGAAGTAGATACAAAGAAAATATGAAAAACCATTGGAGGAGGCAAACTTACCAGTTGTGCTAGGCGGCTCAGAATTTTCAATTAGCTCCCTTGCAATCACTGCAGTAGACAAGAGAACCATAATTATCAAGAAAACCCCACAACTTTTGATAACCTTCCTGGAACCCATTTTAGAATTATACTTTTTCTGTGGGTATCAGGGTGGTGTGTGTTTGGTGGGGGTTGTGTGAAGAAAGTTTAGGATTAGGATATGTATATATATAGAGGTACTAATGTTGGAAGTTTTCCTACCAAAGTTAAAAGTCCTAATACGCAAAAAAGACTATAAACTTTTTAGCCGAAATTGAAGAAGTCCAGTGTCTGACAATTTGATTTAGTCAAATGGGTGGGGCACCATGTGATGTGATGTGTGATTGTAATATGACGTACAAAGTATTCACTTATCCCCCTTATTTGGGTGGTCATGATTGATCAGGAAAACTTGATATTAATCTCAATATTTCATGATTGATCGTACTTTTTAAAATTATAATTTACACCTCAAAAAAATTATAATTTTACCTTAAAAATTGTAATTTTTTGTACCGGAAACTTTCTCTCTTATTATGGTCAGGGGTATCAAAATTTGACATAACTTGTTGACACGAATACGACATAAAGTTAGAAGATTTGTGTCTTCTTTAAATTACTCGTTTCATAAATGAGTGGACCCTACACGATACGACACGATTAATAAACGAATCAAATATGCATGAAGTTAATCAAAAGAAATATACGACACGATTTATTTATATACCGGTTGTACACGATTGATATATGACATGAACCCGATAAAATATGACTCGTTAGACACAAATTAATAAACAAATCAAGTATCATTAGAGTATTTTTTGATACGAATCCGTTAAAATTTGATATAAACTCGCTTCACCCGACGCAATTAAAAATGCCTAATTATGGTGTGTTGGGAGTTGGTCCATGTATAGGTCGAATTTGATCTCAATCTAATTGGATTTCACATTTAGTTAGTAAGAGATGCATTGATGTTTTTTTTTAAACAATAAACCAATTTCTAATTTTGTTTTATTATATTTCATGAACTTAAATATATAAAATTTAATATCTAACCCGATCCAATCAAGATTGTATTTACATATGTGTACAAATATATATAGTCATTGAGTGATTATTAGACGAAATTAAGTTAAAATTCATATAATTTGTTAAAATTTAAATNCTGACTAGGCACAGTTGGTTATAATAAGGTGTGGCTATTTTTACCCTATAAATCTCTATTTTCATTCAATTTAATTTTTTATTATTAAACTATTAAGTTCATCTTTTCTATACCCACCATATTATTAACTAAGTTCATCCCATGTTACATACACCCCTTTTAAAAAGAAAAAAACGAAACAAGAAAAAAAAAGAAATAAACAAACAAACCGAAACAAGAAGGAAAAAAAAAATCAAGCAAAGTTTAAAGGAACAAGCAAAACTACAAAATGCAAAACCATAGTATGCAAAACTGCACATGAAAAAAAAAACACATCAAGCACAAACACAAAATCGAAAAAAAAAAATAGCAAGTATAAATACAAAACCTAAACAAGATAAAAAAAAAGAACAAATAATCTGAAAACATACATATATATATACACATATAAATTCTAAATAAAAAATTATTAAACTTAACAAAGATATCAAAATATACCGGAAATAATGAAAATTCATACAATAAACATGAAATTAAACATAAAATTAAATTGAGAAATAATACTAACATGTATCTCACTAAAAAAATTCATATTGAAAAAATATTTTTGTGAGTGCATGAAATGAGATAGAGAATGAAACTTTAATTATAATAAAATATAAAGTGAATTTATTTATTAAATAGGGTGTATGTAACATGGGGTGAACTTAGTTACTAATTGGTGGGTATAGAAGTGATGAGTTTAGTAGTTTGATAATGAGAAATTAAATGGGGTGGGAATAGAGATTTGTGGGTTGGGAATAGTCCCACCCGTTATAATTTTGTGAGTTTAGGGTTTTGGTTCATACAATTTCTTGGTAAAATGTTTTTAGACAATTACTAATCAAAGTGGACTCATACAAATTCCAAAGACAAAAGAAAATTCATGAAAGAATGCAATATAGATGCCCTAACAACATGGAATTCAAAAAATTACTTGAAAATAACATTATTACATGATATATTATGTACTATTTGATGATAACTTTTTTGGGCGACAAAGTGCGATCGAGGAAAAAAAAGACCTTTTTCCTCATGTAAACTCATGTAGTTTTGGCCACCCTAAATGATTGGTATAAACACACATAGGCATATATAGACACCCTTTGGCTTGTGAAGTAGATACAAAGAAAATATGAAAAACCATTGGAGGAGGCAAACTTACCAGTTGTGCTAGGCGGCTCAGAATTTTCAATTAGCTCCCTTGCAATCACTGCAGTAGACAAGAGAACCATAATTATCAAGAAAACCCCACAACTTTTGATAACCTTCCTGGAACCCATTTTAGAATTATACTTTTTCTGTGGGTATCAGGGTGGTGTGTGTTTGGTGGGGGTTGTGTGAAGAAAGTTTAGGATTAGGATATGTATATATATAGAGGTACTAATGTTGGAAGTTTTCCTACCAAAGTTAAAAGTCCTAATACGCAAAAAAGACTATAAACTTTTTAGCCGAAATTGAAGAAGTCCAGTGTCTGACAATTTGATTTAGTCAAATGGGTGGGGCACCATGTGATGTGATGTGTGATTGTAATATGACGTACAAAGTATTTACTTATCCCCCTTATTTGGGTGGTCATGATGGATCAGGAAAACTTGATATTAATCTCAATATTTCATGATTGATCGTACTTTTTAAAATTATAATTTACACCTCAAAAAAATTATAATTTTACCTTAAAAATTGTAATTTTTTGTACCGGAAACTTTCTCTCTTATTATGGTCAGGGGTATCAAAATTTGACATAACTTGTTGACACGAATACGACATAAAGTTAGAAGATTTGTGTCTTCTTTAAATTACTCGTTTCATAAATGAGTGGACCCTACACGATACGACACGATTAATAAACGAATCAAATATGCATGAAGTTAATCAAAAGAAATATACGACACGATTTATTTATATACCGGTTGTACACGATTGATATATGACATGAACCCGATAAAATATGACTCGTTAGACACAAATTAATAAACAAATCAAGTATCATTAGAGTATTTTTTGATACGAATCCGTTAAAATTTGATATAAACTCGCTTCACCCGACGCAATTAAAAATGCCTAATTATGGTGTGTTGGGAGTTGGTCCATGTATAGGTCGAATTTGATCTCAATCTAATTGGATTTCACATTTAGTTAGTAAGAGATGCATTGATGTTTTTTTTTAAACAATAAACCAATTTCTAATTTTGTTTTATTATATTTCATGAACTTAAATATATAAAATTTAATATCTAACCCGATCCAATCAAGATTGTATTTACATATGTGTACAAATATATATAGTCATTGAGTGATTATTAGACGAAATTAAGTTAAAATTCATATAATTTGTTAAAATTTAAATTCAATAAACTACAACAAAAAGAGGAATAGCCGGTGGAACAAGGCTTATAAAAGCTGGTAAAACTTTTTTTTGGTGAGTTCCCATGTTTAAGACGATCACAAATATCATCGTCGAAAAAAGTGGCTTTGTTTATATAAACACTTGTTATTGTATGTGTCTGAAGACACATAATAATAAAAAATGATAAACAATAAACATATTTGTATTCAAAACTAAAATCAAATCACAAATATAAAGAAGAGATAAAAAAATTTAAACATCGGTTTGTAGTGGGGATGAAAGGTGGTGGGCAACAGCAGTGGTGGTAGGCGACGGTGATAGTTGTGGTGGGTGGCATTGACTGTGGTGGTCGTGGCGGCGACGACTATGGTGGTGCGATGGCGGCGACAGTGGCG